AGTGCTGGACCCCTTGTTGTGCTTCCCAGCTGTCACACGAGGGTTGGAATGTGCTGCTAACACGGCCACCTGTGGCTTCCAGGCAGATGCTTGTACAAGTGTGTAACTGTCTCAGGATGGATCCAGGGAGGATGCGCTGGCCACTGGAGCCCTGGGAAGTGCTGGTGTGGAGCTTCCCTCTCTCCTTATCCTTCACAATCATTAGTGCTGTTCAGAGGCGCTTGCAAAGCACTTTTTTCCCCCCTGAAGCCTTTGTTTTGGCAGCCTTTTATATAAAGGGAGCCTGGGGAGGGAGATCAGTTTTAAAATTGGGGAAACAGAGGCAGGGAGCGTGGGACCATTGCTGTGACCACCATCCTGGAGTCTGGCAGTGTGTCTGACTGATCCTTCCTGCTGGGTTTCTGACTAAAGCTTATTTGGGGTCAAAAGCGGAGGTTTTCTTTGGTGACCTTGCCTCGCGCCCGCAGGACTGGGGGGAGAGGAAGCTCCCCTCCAGCTGCTCTGCCTGCTCTCCCCTTTTGTTTTGCCAGTTTCTAAACAGACCTTTCAGAGTTGTTTTTAATTTACAACAAAGCCTTTGCCTTGCCATGTTCCTCTTTGGTTTTCAAATGAGAAGGGAAAGAAGGAGAGAAAGAAAGAAGAAAAGAAAGAAAGAAAGAGCTTAAATAAAAAAACCGAAAACAACCATCAAATCTGAAATTAGCAGCTTAGTCTGACCCTGAACTTACATTGCTTCCATCCAGCTCATTTCCTTTCATCTCTAGACTTGCCAGCAGTCTAGGAAATCAGTTTTTCACGTGTCTCTGCCTGCTACCTCCCCAGCAGCAGCTCTGCCGTGTCCTTGCAGAGCTTCATCCTGTGCTCATTTGGTTCTTGCTAAACCCGACTGAGTTTTGCTTCTGCTGCTGGTAGTGAAACCAGGGGCAGGACTGAAGCCAGCAGCTTTCATGGCTAGGGGTGGGATGGATTTTGTGGCCACTCAGCCGGGTTTGTAGCCAGCCCTCTGCAAAGCCAAGGCTATTTTGGGAGCACGGGGGTGAGCACCACATACTCCGTGGTGTGGATGTCCCATGGGAACTGTCTGTCTCTTTCTACCCAGCAGCTTCTCTCATCCTCTTCCAACTGTCCTTTGTGGGGACGCAGGGTGATGGCAGGGAAGGTCTCCAGCTCCACAGCCACCTGCTTTGCTCCTTGTCTGCTCCCAGGAGTGGGATGAAATTTGATTTGGGGGTCTGCAGATGCTTCAGAAAGGGATGTGTGAGCCCCTGGGGTGCCAGTACCACCTCATGATGGGAACTGCCTCACGGGGAAGGGGGGGTTGCAGCCTTTGCCAAGGCTCCTCTAGGAAAAGCTCTGATTTTGCATGTGGGAACTGAAGGCAGAGACCTGCAGGCTGCTGTTCTGGCACTGTCCCAGGCCCTGCCAGGGCTGGCGGCGGGATCTGTACGGTCATGTCGTAGGAAGCTGCTGTCTAAGCTTGTTGAATGGCAGCTCGTCCTTCAGAATTCCCAAATTAGGCAGTGCAAGCAGCAATTTGGACTTGGATGGGTCTCCTGTCCCACCCCAAGCCCCAGTGGACGACAGCCTGATTTCCAGGAACACGACAGCTCTGAACATCAGGCTCAGCTGAACTCCGCACACAGCTAAACCTTGGAAGATCTCCCACTTTCCATCTCTTTAAATGGATCTGCCCCAACTACTTGGGGGGTGATGGAAGATGGAAGAGCACCAGCCAGGTCAGATGCATAAAGGTGGACACTGGGAAAATCTGGTCTTGCATTCACTGCTGAGGCCCTTTTCCCATAGCTGGGATTTCATGCCCTGGTCGTGTCCACTGTTGCTCCCATCTTTCCCTGCACATCGATCTCTCTAAGCAGTGAACAAATCTGTCCTTTGGCTCAGTGCCTCTCTCTGCTTCTTCGAGTCATAAATCCCAGGATGTATTTTTGGCTTTGTGTTAAATATAATTTCTGGGGACCATTTTTCTCCATCAAAGACTGACAAGGTCTTTTAATGACTTGGTAATTTGGTGGTGGTGCTAACAAGGATCCTGAAAGCAAAACTGCTGCCTGTAGAGCAGAGAGGCTGTAGTGCTGTGCTGGCATCCCACGGGCTCAGGGACAGGTCTCTGAGTACTTGGGCAGCAACAGGTTTTGCTTTTCCATTCCCAGGAATCTCCAACAGATGCATGGTAGGAAAACAGCTGGCAGATATTTGGCAGGTTTGTCGTTCTCTTTTTTTTAGCTGGCGTTTTATTCAGATGGTGCTGAATCACGAAGCACATTCCTGCCTGTCTGATGAATCAGAGCAGCATGCAGGATAACACAGAGATCCAGCTGTGGATGATGCAGGAATGCAGTTGTGGATGAGTTACAGGTCTGGCTTCAGGAGATGAGGTGTTCATTTCCCAGTTAGTGGCTCAATATTTGCAGAGGTCTGGCAGTGTGAGACGCTAAAGGAGACCTGATTTCACTGCTGTTGGCCCCTGGGAGTGACACATTTAATGGGATGTCATCTGCCGGGGTGGCTGCTCACCACCCTGGAACAGCCCAGTCTCTGCAGGGAAGAGCCTGCAAACAGCAATAGCTTCTGGAGCAGAGCAAATGGAGCTGAGGCCAGCAGAAATGGTGACATGGAGAAATGTCTCTTGGCACTGCGTGCCTTGCTGAAATTCCAGGGAAACCTGACTGCAGGGCCAGGCACTGCTCAGCCTCATCATGCCTACTTCCATATGGAGCCTGCTGGGTGCCTCATCCCAAGAGTATCCTGGCACTTCCTGCGTTACTGGATTAGGATCTCCACTGCAGTAGTTATATATAAATATATATGTATGTATGTATACATGCATATTTTAGAAACTGTTATGCATTAGCAAACTCGCCAGAGGGCTTTTTTTAGAGGTGTTATCAACAGGATGTGCCTTGAATATATGGAATCCAGGAAGCCCTGGAGAAGGGCTTTTCTTTACAGTCTCACTGTGCCCAGAGTCCCCTGGCCTCCATTGGGATCCATCAGGGCTGCAGTACCACAGACCCCTTCCCTGGGACAGGGAGGAGCCATGACGGGATGCCAGCTCCCTCCATCGCTTGGCATTTTGGAGAGATCGTGCTTTTTTTTTTGACGGGAGGAACAAGCTCTTTGACATGGTTGAAGCCAGTTGCTTGGAGCAAGGGAAGCAAAAGCATCCAAGAAACATCCCCCAGTCATTGCCCTTGGGCAACAAATGAGGACAACAGGGATGGAGCTAAAAAAATCCCACCCAGCCACATGAGATAGGGAAGGTCCGCAGATACCCTGGTATTAAAGTCATACTGTATAACATTGTGTGATGGCTGTGACCCCCTCTGTGGGGCAGAAAGCACCTAAAACTTACATTTTCAGGTCTGGTTGTACCTGGGTACAGCACAGGGTTTGATGGTGGGGTTGGATGCCACTGTGCTGTGAGCTACGCAACAGTGGCAAAGCTCCAGCTCCAGTGTGGGAAAGGCCGTGGTTAGTGTTAGTTAGAATGGCACTTGTGCTGGGGTTCCCACCCACTCCAGGGCTTGCACCCAGCCAGGGGTTTCCCCTTGCTGCCACATGCTGGCTACGGTGCAGAAATCCCTGCTGACATTTGGGATGATCACTAGGTCCTGCTGGCTCTGAGCGATGACCCCAGGGGTGAGCGGTAGGGGGAGCAGAGGGTTTCACTTGTCAGATGTTTAACTGCTCTCTGCTGGGCAAAATAGGATCTCTCTGGGGCTCAGGACTGAGTTTAGGAAACACAGTTTATATAGCAAGTTTTTGGCTAAAGTTGTCGTTTTAAAGATGAATGTGCATCCACGGTTTCCACCAGTCCCTCCTGCTTGTGACTTTGGGTCAGTCACTTCCCTTTTCCGTGAACCTTTTCCTTCCTTTTTCTTAACTGCTTCTCCATGTGCTCCCATCAGGGGGAGGCTGTTGGAGGACTTTCTCTTCCCTAAGCCTCAGCAAAGTATTTAGCACAGGGGGACCTTGTGCTCACATTACCACCACTGGCGATGAGCGCAGGTAACGAAATGCACGGGATTTCCACTGGAGCTTCAGGGAGGAAAAGGAAAATACCGCGGCCCTCGCCTGTGCTGCTAATCTCGGGCAGGAAGGGGTGAGCTCAGCACTCTGCCGAGCCCTGACTTCCAGATCGAGTCACCCGGAGCATCAGCTCCGGCACTCGGAGGGCTGGCTGTGTGCATTGTGTGCACGCCTGGAGGGGCGGCCGCATCCTGGCACGTTGTTCTGCTGCGCCGGGCTGCGCTTCCCTTCTTCGGATGTGGGTTTTGTTCTTTAGGACAAACACACGGGGCAGAACAACAAAAGTAATCCCCCCCTTTTCCCATTCATCTCGGCACTGGGGCTGTGTGAACCAGCAGACAGCTGCGGTCGCAGCGCAGTCCCCAGGGCCTCACTCGCCAGCCGCTGCGGCAGGGTCAGGGGTGAGCACTGAGAAATCCCTGGGAAAGAGATGCTTCCCCTTTGCCAGAAAGAGGAAAGGGCCACCAGGTTGGAACAACCTGAGCTGGTGAACTCTGCTGATGTTGTCGTGGCTCTTGCTTTATTGCAGCAGGTATTGGTGAAAGCCAGGAGGTGAGGGGCTGGCTGAAGCCTGGTGAGCTCCTGGGGTGCTCAGGAGGGAGGAAGGGCTCTGTCTGCCATCACTCCTTGCACGGGGCACATGTGGCAGTGCTCACACTTTCCGGTGCTGGGAGCTGCTCTGTGAGGTGACAGCAGCTGCTCCAGATCACCCTACTGGGTGTGGAGGGACCAGAAGCTCACCTCAAATCTCTGTTCCCATGTGCTGCCGGAGCAGCAAGGCCAGGTGGTGTGAACTCAACCCTGTGAGTGTGCCCACACATGCTGCTGGCTTCATATGTGACCCAAATGTGCCTCCTTCTCCTTCCAGAAACCTCCAGCTGTGAAGACCCCAGCCTTGGGCTTCACGTTGCACTGAGCCTCTGCCCTCGCCCTGGCAGGCCCTGCCCACCATGGCTTTGTGTCTCAAGCAAGTCTTCAACAAAGACAAAACGTTTCGTCCCCGAAAAAAGTTCGAGCCTGGCACCCAACGCTTTGAGCTGTACAAGAAAGCCCAGGCCTCCCTCAAGTCCGGGCTGGACCTGAAAGCAGTGGTGCAGCTGCCTCCTGGCGAGAGCATCAACGACTGGATCGCCGTGCACGTGGTGGACTTCTTCAACCGCATCAACCTCATCTACGGCACCATGTCGGAGTACTGCACGGAGAGGAGCTGCCCCATCATGTCTGGGGGGCTCAAGTACGAGTACAGGTGGCAGGACGATAGCAAATACAAGAAGCCGACCAAGCTGTCGGCTCCGCAGTACATGTGTATGCTGATGGACTGGATCGAGATGCTCATCAACAACGAGGACATCTTCCCCACCAGGATAGGTGAGTGTGCTCTGGTTCTTTGCAGGAAGGTGGGGGTTTTAACTGGTGCGGGTTCCCAAGCCGCTGGTGCACCTCAGGACTGGTCTTGCTGGACTTTGCGATCCCAAGTGTTGTGGCCTTTCCTGTTCCAGGTGTTACTCAGTGTCTGTCCCACACCATTTTGCCGCAAATTGAGCTTGGGGTTTCTCATCCTGATGCTAGGGGATGTGGAACACAATGTTCTCCTTTTCCGTGCTTGAACTTTTCCAAGTATTCTGTGCTTGTGAGAAATGAAGGCTGGTAGGTCGTCAGCTTCCTTGCCTGCCCTCAAGGAGCTGAGCTGCAGGGCTGGGTAGAGGTGGTCATCACGTCCCTGCTCTTCTCTCAACTAACCAAATCAATTTCTTTCTTGTTTCCCACGTGGGTTCATGGTCCCAGGGTCTAGCCTTTGTCTGACCTTGCTGCTTCACTCCTCAGCCCTTTCCATCTCAGCCCTGATTATACCTCACATCTTGCTGTGTAGCTGAGGCATCACTTGAGCAGAGATATGCCTGTCCCCAGGACGATCTGGCCTTTCCACTGCCAAGGCCCAGGGTGTACAATATAGCCCTTCGAAAAGTTTGGCCTTGGGAGCTTGCAGCAGCTGCCAAAGGCAACACAGCTTACAGACTAACCCCCCTGCTGCTGATCTGCAATGCTCAGCACCTGCCAAGGCCGATATTAGCTGCTACCTAACTGCTTTTTTGTCATTTGGGGAGATGAGTTCGAGGGTTGGAGACGATGCCTTGGCTGGTGGGGCTTCCAGAGCCTCAGGTCATGCCTTGGAGTGGTTGTTTTACAGGTGGAACATGAAGCTACTTCAATGTAAAGAAGTATTTAAGGTGCTCGGGGGGGAGAGGCAAGGCTTTGCAAGTCTGCTTGACCTTTTTTGGTTTGCCAAGCAGCACAGCTGACAGAGCTGTGTGAAATCAGTGCAGTTTAGGACCAGGATTTTCATTAACATGCTGGGAAACATTGAAGAAAATGGTCTGTGTGGGATTACTGGCATTACTCACTGTTGTAGCCCCATTTGGCTGTGCTGTACATATAATTGTGTGTCTTTTTCGGGGAAGTCTCTGGCCCTTGGGGGCTGAGAGGGGTTGTGGGTCTCTGCAAGGAAGAGGGGAGGCAGTGCCTGCAGCCTGGTTGTGCCAAACTATTTTGGCCCTGCGATGGGATCACCCCCCAGGCCCTTGATCTGACCTGGCTGCTCTGGCTTTGCCAGAGGGGTTAGGGTGGGACAACTCTCCTCCTGGGGGTTTCCTTCTCTTTCCTTGAAGCCAAAACCTGCAGGTACTCGCTGCCTTCTTCCCCTTGCTGGTAGTCTGGTGCTGTCAGGGTAGCACAGTGCTGGATCCTTGTGCCAGAGGACAGGCAGATAGGATGACTTTGGGGGGCCTGGGGGAATCAGCCCGTGGGATTCACCAGGGACATTCACTGTGCCATGGAGGCATCTCTCCCTCGCGGGCTCCGTGGTGTCCACACATTCCAGAGGAGGCTGGAAGTGTGGCTGGCTGACAGTGTCAGTGCAGGATGCTCCGAGCCAGCAGCCCCAGCTCTGCTGGGGACAACAAAAGTCCCGTTTAATTCTGGCTTGCTGCTGCCAAGGGGTGAGACAGCAGCCACAGGGAGCAGGCAAGGTCTCCCCCTTCCCAGTTTGTCCCCGAGGAAAAGATCTGCACACCATTAAAAGCAGAGGCACAGATATGGATTTACTCTGTTTTCCCTTCAGCCAGAAAGGAGAGTGACCCGGTCCAGTTTCATGCCTTTCTGGTGGGATTTGGGATGGGATGCTGTTTGAAAGCTGCTCTGGGGAATGAGGGTTTACATGGAGTCTTAACACTGCAGAAAGCAGGCAGCCATAGGAGGGACATTGCAGCACCTTTTGCTCTCCCATGTCTCCCTCTGAGGCGCAAAAGCCCAATGCAGTCATGGCCCTGCTGGTTTGTACCCCATTTCTGGCACTTCTCCCTCCAAGGTGTAACACATCCTAGTGTGGGGTGGGATGGCTGGTGCCTCTGGTTTCCACTTCTTTTTTCATTTCAGTGTGGAGACAGTTCTGGATCAGATCCAGGCTAGCTGCAGGTGATCATGGGGCAAATCCATTTTTTTTCTCTTCTAACGTTGTTCCTGGGTTCCCTCTTCCAAGCCCTTTAGTTGTGGGGACCCTTGTGTCCCCTGAGTGACTTCAGTCCTCTTGCTGGCACGTCCTTGTGGTTCTGGCCTCACACATGCAAGAGAGAACTCAGGCTGAGGTTGCACTCTAAAGCACTGTTGGGGGGGCAGGGGGAGGAGGGAGCCAGTGGTACTTTGTCATCAGTGTGTCCCCAATTAACTGCCTTTCACTGGCCTGCCTTGTGTGCTGGGTAATTGCTTGGCAGCTCTGGCATTTCAGAAGATGGAGGTGTTTGGCCGAAGGGAAGTGTCACATCTGCCTGCTCCTGAGGGGCTGCTCCTCATTGTCACTCGGGATGATGGAGGAGGCTGGGCAGGGTGTGGGACTCAGGGACAGCGGCCAGAGTGACCAAATGTTGATGCTCAGCCTCTCTCCTAAAGAGCCAGAAACGAGGGAAAAGATCCAGGACAAGGGAAGGCAGAGAGAGGACACAGAGGAGATGTGAGCTGTTTTAAGGAGGCGAATGGAGTTTGATGTGGAGAAATTATAAATGTCATGCTTTGGAGTTATGGTGAGAAATTAGCAGGAGAGATGGGATTTAGCATGAAGATTTGTTTCAGTCCTGCTTGTGCTGGAGAGGTCCATGGGCACAGCTGACCACCATCTGAGCAGGGTGTTTCCTGAGCTGAGAAAGCATCTCAGCTTTCCCTCCTGGCCCCTCTTTGCCATGTGCAATAAAGCTGTCCCAGCACAAAGATTTCCCTGGCTAGGGGCACCTGACCGCAGACAAAACAGACTTTTCTTTTTACTAAGTTTGTTTATCTTAGAAACAAAAGTGTTCCCCAAACTTGCTAATGTTGCCTGAGGCTAACCTCAAGCATCCTTCTGCATCCAAGAGCTACAAAGCCAGAAGCAGCACATGATTCAGCAGGGCCTGCTCACAGCTGTCCTGACAGCTACGGTATTTCATGGGTCAGAGGGGGGAAATCCTTCACCCCAGGGTGAGAGGCTCAGCTGGAAAGGAGCAGAGATGGTTCACTGGCTTGTGGGCTCACAGGGTCCTTTGGCATCACAGCAGAGACCTTGGCTGGGGTAAATGGTCACAGCTCCAGTGACCAGAGCAGAGCTGGGCACCACTAAAGCATCTGCTCCTTCAGCAGTGTCAGAGGTGCGAGGGGAGCAGAGTGACCCAAGTGAAAAACACCTTTGGTTTAGCCAAGCTGTGTGACTCAGAGCTTGTGCCAGCTCTGCAGTGAGGCCAGAGGGACAGATGACATCCTAAAAGGCAGGAAGGGAGCCCAACGCCAGCAGACAGTTTGTGACCTGGCAGACTTAACCAGCAGGACTGCAGCCCTCGGATGGCATCAGTAGAAAATCCCTATGGTGGGGATTATTAATGGGTATGGGGGTGCTGTCAAGCCCCCTGCATACCACAGCAAGAATTGGGGAGATCCTGTGCCTTCCCCATTCCTGGGGAAATCCACCTGCAGGGTTCCATCCCACTCTGTAATCCTTTCTCTGGAGTGGAAATCTCTTTGTCAGACAGTTAAGATGAGACAAATCCCTGCATGGGGTGAGCTATGCCAACCTGATGGCTATAAATCTACAGCAGCAGCTTTTCCAGATGATCTGCATCAGTTTGTGTGTGCTAGTGCTTTGTTTCCACTCTTCCAACCAATGTGGCTGTCCTGAAAAATACATTTAAATGGAGAATAAGCATTGTTACCATTCAGGGAGAAGAATAAATGATTCTACAGGTGTACTTTTACCAGCTGGTAAAACTATGTCAGCAGATTTATTCAGTGAGTGGCCACATGAACAAATTACCACCTGGAAAATATCATCTCCTCCCTGCAATCGTTCTACCCTGTGGTGCTTGGTTTTAGGGAGCTGCTGCTGGGCAGCAGCGTGCTGGGGAGGAGGGTTGGCTGGATGGGGTTTCCAGGGCCCGTGGCAGCTGGCTGTGTCTGCACCAGTCAGCCCAGCATCAGGCTGCTGGTTGCACAAGGCCAGGTGTCCCACATCAGCACCGTCGTGGCTGCTGAAACCCCTCTGTTCTTAAATGAGTGCAGACGCAGGGTTTGGACCAGATCCAGTGCCGGAAACACCCCGTGATCTCTGCCAGATTTGCCTGCGGCTCTACAGAGCATCAGTCACAGGAGATTTTGGAACAGTTCTTGGAAAGCTTTTCAGAACTCAAGCTCTGCCATTCAAGCATGGTCCCAAAACAATTATAAAAATCCAGAGAAAACTTGGTGCGAAATTGTCTGATGCTTTCTCGCCATAACAACAGGAGAAAAATGTTCAGAACTCAGCTAATTATTGGTGTTATCTCTGCTGGCTATTTTTTACACAATTTGTCTTTTTTTTTTTGTGCTATTTTCTTCCAAAATTAACACCACAGCAGCTTGCAGCTGCCATCATGACATTAGTTTTAAATGGGGTTTTAAAGACTTATTTTTAGGAAAAATGAATCACCGAACACCACGGTGGCCAAAATGAAATTGAGAAATAACAACAATTCATCACGAAGTTCACTGAATTACTGCATTTGCAGAGGAAAAAAAATACAATTGCCAAGAAGCAAAATAGCTTCCCAGTACTGATTCATCATGAAAAAATTAAATTGGCACAAGTGTTAGGGATGGGAGATGGCAGGAAAGATCCAAGAGCCATTGGCAGTCCCTTACCATAAGCACAGGCAACTTGTTACCTCTCATTTCATTTCCTTTTACACATGGTCCCACATGGTTTCCTTATGTTTTGAAGCAATCAGCGCAGAGTGGGAAAAACAGATTTCTTGGAGCTTTAAATCATATCTTGGGATTTTCAAGCAAAACATCCAAGAAAAACTGAAGGTGCTAATTCATTTCAGGGCTGTGAGTCATGCTGCATGGAGTGAAATTGTACCTGCTGTACTTACAGCTTTTGCCCTGGCTTAGAGCAGGGGTAAAGTTCTCCTTTTTCCTCTGCTGTGGATGGCTGCTTTGCTCCACTCCTCCTGGGATTGGGCTGTTTCTGCCCTGGGACAGGAGTTGCTCCCAACTGTCTGGTCTGTGTGCAGTGTCAGGGTAGCACATGCCTGGGATCACGGTGGAAGGGAAGAGCTGACCTTGTCTATAAATCTTTTTCCTGACATTTGAGCAAGTTCACGTTGCATCCTGTGGTCCCCTCCTCATCACCCATAGAACCACAGAATCATTAAGGTTGGAAAAGACCTCTAGGATCATTGAGTCCAGCTGTTAACCCGGCACTGTGATCTCCACTAAACCATATCCCATATCCACATGCCTTTTGAACACTTCCAGAGGTGGTGATTCCACCACTTCCCTGGGCAGTCTATTCCAATGCCTGACAACCCTTTCAGTGAAGAAATTTTTCCTAATATCTAAACTAAACATCATGCAAGAGGAGTCAGAGGGTGGCCACCGCCTGCCAGACTGGGAGGTTGCTGCTGCTTTCTCCAAGGCTGCTGGATGGTGAGCAGCAGTGAATTAAATGTAAAGGTAGCTTTAAGGCTTTTAATTCAGCAGTGGTGGGTTTTGTGGTGTTCTGCTATCCCCCTGGGGCAGCTGAGACCAGCATCAATTGGATGAACTGGGATGGTGCTGCTGGGTCCCCAAAGGTGTGTAGGACTAGGGAGGGTGAAGCCAAGCTAAGCAGCATCACCCTGTCGGAGTGGTTTGTCAAAACTTGGGGCTCCATCCTGGGTTTGCCCTGGCCTGCCATACGTCTGCTGACAGGACCTCTCAGCCACGCAGAGTCAGTCCCACCAGCCTCATCCCTCTGTCTCACCAATCTACTGCTCCCGCTCTGTGCTGTGATAGTGTCGTGATGTGAATGACAATGAGCTGCTCATTTTGGAGTGAAACATCTGCAAGGGCAGGATAGGTGCGTGGCCAGTGCTGAGATCCCTGTCCCAGGCCTTTCCCCTTGCTGGGCTGTGCTGGCTGCAGTGCGTGCCTGGCTGCAGGGAGGAGGCACAGCCTGCCCTCGCTGTGTCCCCTCACGTGCTGGAGAGGATGTCACATGCGTTGTCTGCTGGACATCCGCTGTGCCAGCAGCTGTGACCCCGAGCGAGCCGTGTGTGTGCTGGATCTTTCTGCTGCTCTCCCCGAATTGTTCACATGCAGCCTTTACTGGAGAGCCCTTTTCTTTCAGCTCTGGGCAAGGGGATGGGGAATTTCTCCAGCTCGTTGCCAGCATGGCCAGTTCCTGCTGGGGCTACAGTGGGTTGCTTTCCAAGTCACTGGAAACCAGCAGTGAGGCACGGCTGCTGCTGGCAGAGGCAACTTGCTTATCAGATATCCGCCCTGCTTCCTTCCCGCAGGGAAGGGCTTTGATCAGCTGGCACAGAGCCCCGTGCCAGATGCAGGGTCCAGTCAAGCATCCATAGCCTGTATCGAGGGTCCTGGCACGGGAGACATAGACGTGGCTGCAGCACGGGGAGAGGAAGCGGGACCCGATGGCCCAGGGCTGTGCCTCCCCAGGCAGATGTGTGAGTGAGAGGGTTGTTGCAGGGAGAAAGAGTCAGAGCCAGACCTGAGTGACCCCTGGTCCCAACGGACCGTAGTTGGCGGTGTCATGACATGGTAGGGTGAGGGGTGACCTGCAGAAGTCCATTAGTAACAGGCAGCCACCACTGCAGCCTGGCCATGTCTGGAGGGGATGGCCACACACTGACCCCTGGTGATGGACACAAAGAAAGGCAGCCCAGCTTCACCTCCCGGGAGCTCCTGATGCTGCTGGTTCATGTGAATCACACGGGGGGGGGTGGGGGGGTGGGGTGGTGGGGTGGGTAGCCCATAAATGTCCTTGGAGGTCCTGGCAGCTTGAGGGTATCTTTCCACACATCATTAGGTATAGGAGCTCAGCAGCTCCCATAGTTGCTCACAACCATGAGATTTGAATTAGATGACCTTTAAAGATCCCTTCCAACCCAAACTATGCTTTGATTCTATGATTTACACTAAATCTCAGTTCCCTGATGGAAAAGCTGCTTTTGGAAAACCCGGAATGTAGCTGGAGGTGTCTCTCAGCTGTAGGTATGTCCATGAAGACTTGCTGGTGACTGATGTATAGGACAAGATGGTTCCTGGCTAACCTCAGGACCAAAGCCATGGGAAGCTACATGTCACCATCTGCCAGCTCTGGAGGTGGCTCATATGACAGCAGTGTCTGAACCATGGCCCTATCAGCTCTGGCAGCCTGAGATCCTTTGACCCGCTGTCCACTCTCCAATCTTATTTCCTTCTCAGCTCAGGACTGGGTTGTTCAGAACAGTGTGTATTCCCCAGCCAGGGCCCAGCAATGTGTGTTCATCAGAAATTATTTGCTGTAACAAACTTTTCTTTATTAAAAAAAAAAATGTTTCTTGCCCAGTTCTTCAAAGCTGGTCTGCAGGGGCCACCCTAATGGCATATCTGAGTCTCCAGCTGGGTGATTACAGCTTTTATTTGCTCAGCAAATTCTCACTCAGTGCAAAAAGCTCAAATGAAGCCATTGATAAAGCACCATGCCTGTCCTGGCTGCAGAGGAACCAAGAGATCTCTCTCTGATCCCTGCCTGTATCAGACTGGCAGGAAAGGAGAGCTCTGCAGCCAAGGGTGCAGGGCAGAAGCAAGCCTCCAGTACCATCTCTAAGGTGTTGGCATGGGCACAGCCTGGTTGTGCTTTGCCAGCTGTGAAGACCTTTCCCAGAAAGTCCTAATGGGATCTGTTAGAGCTGTGTTTGCCACCTACGGAGGAGAAGGGCACAGCGCTGCTGCTGGGAAACAAAACTGCCAGGAGCCTTTGGGAAAAAGTGTTTTAATTGCCTTGCAAGGCTGATGAGAAAGATTCAAAGATAAAATTACCCTTTTTAATTTTTTAGCTGGGAGATTTGCTGATGCGTCTCCCGGTGCAAAATTTGTGAGCTGGCCATGGTTGAGCAGAGTTTGTTTGAAAAGATTTTTCAGAGGTTATGTGCTGCATTAATGAGAAGCTATGGGAGGAGGCTGGTACAACCGTGGGAAGGAGGTTTTTATTTTGTTCTTTGCATATTTGCATTGAATTGCTCTGGGGGGAGGAAGAAACTTTAGGAAAACAAATTCCAGTTGTTTCATTTTCGTCCTCACAAAAAAAAGAGAATGTTTAGGGGTTTCAAAGCCACGTATCCTTTAGAGATTTACCACACAGTTACTGGCACTGATGGTATCACAGCCCTGAGATTTTCACTGTGGTAGCAGTGCGTTTTGACAGGGATATAAATGTCCCACAGTGTGTCTTTGTCTGGAACAAAGCTAAAAGTATAGAGCAATGCATGGTGGGTCCCATTCTTGACCATCCTGGGAGGTCATCTCAGGAGGGAGCATCATACAGGTGCAGTGAAATCACAACCCAAACATCATTAAGATGGGTGGTTTTCTTCCTGATTTAATGAGACATTTTATTGAAACAAGGATCAGGAAAAAAGCTAGAAACCTCACCCATTTCTGTTGATGCATCAGAAGTGACGTTTGAGGGTGTGGGGAGGAAGAAAAAGAGTGTGAAATGTGCTTTTGGTTCAGAGGAACAGGGAAGGTATCTTTTCTTCTGGGAGGTGGTTTGGCTTTGTTCGTAGACAAAGTAGAGACCGACGACAGCCCTTCCCTCCAGGAAAGAAACCCCAACTTATCCTGTACCTGCACAGGCTTGTAGGGGAAAGGCAGGGAGAGAGGGCAGGATCTTCTGCCAGATTGCTCTGGGTTGAGCCAGATGTGAAAATCTGTGGCCTCTTCCAATGGGTAATAAAACTTTCTCTCCTAGGGCAGCTCCCCAAATCCTCAGCCCATGCCTGTGCGAAATTGCTTGTTGGGCAATGAGGGAATATGTGGGAAGAGTTAGATGGAACATTGCCCCAGTGTAGCTGTCACTCTTGACATTAGCCAAGGGAGTCCTTCCTTGTCATCCATGACTGCCTGTCAAATGTGACAGTAACATTTAAATGCTAACTGTTTCCTTGGAAATTGTCAAATGGCTTCCAATTTGCTTCTGCTTTTCAGGTGTTCCCTTCCCCAAGCAATTCCAGCAAGTTTGCACCAAGATCCTCACCCGCCTCTTCCGTGTCTTTGTCCATGTCTATATCCACCACTTTGACAGCATCATCAACATGGGTGCTGAGGCTCATGTCAACACCTGCTACAAGCACTTTTACTACTTCATCAGGGAGTTCAGCCTCATTGACCACCGGGAGCTGGAGCCTTTGGTAAGGATGCCCCAGGGAAGGGGAGTTGGAGGGTGAGTGGCATGGGCTGAACACAGCACTGGTAAGTTCAGGTGGGGGCAGGACTCTGAGCATGCAGTCACCCTCTCCGGACTCTTTCAGCCATCCTACCTCAGACACATAGTCATGTTTTCTGTCCTGTAACCATCAGCCTTAGTGCTCTAAGAGAGAACTTCTCAGCAACACCAAGGAAAACCTTTGCCCTTGGAAACCCCTCCTTAAACTTTGCTTCTGCCGTGATGTCTATGAATGGCTCTTCAGTACCCTCAGGGCCACCCCAGTGTAGTGTCCCTCCATACTGAATTGGCAGCTCTGATGCAATTTGCACATCAAAGTATTTCCAGCCAGTTGTGTCCACATGGCTTTCAGGGGTCAGGTTTGAGCCAAAGCCTTCTTTCCACAGTCTTGAGTTTTCCTTTTAGCAGCCCAAGGTCCCTGCCTGAGATCTCAGCGTGAATTACAATGAGGCTGCACGGAAGGCAAGCCCCAGTAGGACAGGCAGCTTCAGACAACAGCTATCAAGGCCAAACTTGAGAGGCCTCTCTGAAGCTGCCAGTTTCCCTGCAGCTCCCCTTGGGAAGCAATTAGCCAGGCAGAGTGACAGTCCTTGAAAACAGCAGGACTGGTGGGAAGCAGAGACCAGACAGCCTGGGCACATAAACTAGAAAAAACACATAGTTTTGTAAGACATGCAAGTGTGTCACACGCAAGGTTGAGTCTAGTGTGACCTAGAGAGGACGTGTTGCAGTGGGGACAAGAATTATTAGGAAACTCTGTAGTTATCATGGTGTGATAAGGGCTGGGTTGCAGTAAAGGCTGTATCCAGCAGCAGAGAGTCAGGGAAGACCAAGAGGGTCTAGTCTCAGAAAGAGCTAAGAAACATCGCAGGATGAGCTGCCTGTTTAGGATCTGGATGTGGGGGAGATGCCCTTGCCCCTAAATGCCAAGCACTTTACTCCTCTGCATTCAATTGTCCCAGTCAATCGGCTGCCTGTCTGCTCCGATTATGATTTCAGGGGATGGAGACATTATGATCTAATCAGGGGAGACTTGAATGACAACAGTATCTGCTTTAATTATTTTGTAGAATTTGATTGTGACATTTATTACACAATGGCCCTCAGCTCCAGAAAATAGCAGCTCAGCATCAGTCTGTCCTCTGTTCCTCACCACTGCTCCTCATGACAAAGTTCTTCAGCATTGATAAACATCCCATAATTGTGTCATCCCCTTGGACTGATGCTTGCTAATGTAAATAATTAGCACCTAATAGCAAAAGCAGAGGCTGACATTGCTAAATAGGCTTTCAATGCCAGTGACTCACACCCAGCATGAGATAACTGATGGGTCTGGATGAATCTAAGATGAACAGATTTTTCCCCCGTGATGCAACTAGGGTTAAACTATAAGGAAATGAGACACATTTGCCTCTGGTCTATCTTTGTCTCATTGCCTGGCATACAAGCCTCAAGCAGACCCAACCACAGGATTGGGAGGAAGGACCAGGGAGGAGGAAGGACCTCCTTCCCTCAGGCATTGAGTTGCTGTAGGTGTGTATGAGAGTGTCCTGCAACCAGACTGCCTCATGAGTCCAGACAACTGTCCTAACCTTGCATTTGCATGGCTGGAGTTAGTCCCCATGAAACCATGACAGAGGAGACTCCTGCCTGCAGAGGTGCCTGTTCCCTGCATGTGATTATGGAAGGCCTCCGGGCATGTGGGGAGAGCACATCTGGAGCGTGACAGCAGGTCTGAGTCCTGTATTATGGTTGGAGCATTGCTGACGTGGAATGCTTCTGAGGAAATCTACTGACATGGAAATCTACAGTCTGCAGATTTAGGAGTAAGAAAAAAAAAAACAAAGCAGCACGTCCTTAGCCAGAAGATTCACTGTTAGGCCAAAATAGCTTGGAAAAATTACAGAGGTGAAGGAGTTCTCGGTTTCTAAGCCTTCCTCTGGCTGAATCTCCCTTTGCTGTTTCAATTTCCCTTTTGTCAAGCTTCTTTGGGATGTGATTTCTTAGCAAATCTTGGGAACTGAGGAGGAGATCTTTTTTACAGTCAGAACTAGCGAAAGGCAGTGATTCCCTCTCTTTAACAAATCAGTAGACATGGGGGCAGAGAGAAGCCGTGCACTTGCCTCCCTGACAAGGGCAGGATGGTGCTGGGCTGCAGCACTGGCAGGGGTCCAGCTGGTTACACACTAAGGCAGAGCTGTGGGGTCATCCCACTTTCCTTGTTCTTCTTTTTTCAGAGTCGCATTCTTCCTTCTCCACAGACCAGTCCTACTTCAGATCTATTTTGGGAGTACATTTTCGAGTGAAAACCTTCCTCTAGGGTGCACGAGGGGATCTGTGTGCACGTGCAAATTCACAAACCATGAATCTGATGAGCCAGAATCACACTTTCCTTGCTGCTGCAATGTATGTGATTTAGAAACTATTAGTTGAACTCCTTAAGGCAAGGACAAATAACATCTTCCACCAGCTGAAAGCTGGACACCTTCCTAATGCAGCTGGCATGATGCCATTCTGGCTGAAGAAAACAGTCTCTTAGCCTAAACAGAGCTTGGTCTGGCTGGAGGTTTCCTGTGGCCTCTGTTATTAGCACTCATTTGCATTGCAGTGTGACTGTGAGATCCCTTGCCAAAACCACAGATCCTCTGGGTGAGTTGTGGTCAGCTCCCAGAGCAAGAACTGGGAACAGCTCCCTGTCCTGCCTCCCTAGGCAGCTGCAAAGAGAGGCTCTGAGAGGCATCACCTTGTCTGGCTGCTCCACGGCTTAGCAGGGCCTGCACCTTTCAATGTCTCAGCCAAAGCTCTTTCCTTGGGCTGCTCTCAAAGCCAGAGCACAGCCAAAACAACCTTGTGGCACAGAGACCAAGGAGGATGCCAGGATGGAGCTGCTGAGGCAGAGCAGTTCCCAGGAGGGCTGGCATGGGAAAGAGAGAAACGCTTCCTGAGACTCCCACAGTTGCTTCCTTGGGTTGGTTTTGGACACCTACCAAACTGCCTGACGCGTCACGCTGCTCAAACCTGTCTTTTGCACTTACTGTTTCTTTTCTTTCTCTCTCCCTTCAACGCAGAAAGAAATGACAGAACGAATTTGCCACTGAAGTATTCTGGCAGGCGAACTCGGCTGGCTCATTCCGAGTCCAACGGGACAGGACACCCTGTGGTGGGAGACCCACTCCCAAGGACTTGCTCTGGGCATTCCAAATCAATGAACTATGAACACTGCAGAAGAGCCTCTTCAGGCCAGGGCCAAATCCTAAGTTTTCCAAGAACCTCTGGACAGGCTTTTCCTTTAATAGATCCCAGTCTCTGTTGCATGGTTCCTGGTTCAGAAAGCCGCTGACTTACTGGAGAAGGAGGCACGTTTGGTTCACTTTCGCACACTCTGGTTTCTAAGACTCAATCCCATGTCCAATATCAAACTTTCAGCCATGTTTCCTCTTGCTTTGCCCTCCGCTACATTTGATCACCAAATATTAAAGTAGCAACTCCTGCCCTGTGAGCAGGTGTAACCTTGGCTACCACATAATGCCTTGTTACCTTTCCCACACGCAGTGGGTTTGTGATGACACCTGAGATCAGCCCTGCAGAGCTGGTGACATTTCATCCCAGCTGCCTTCACGTGGTTAGTTGTCGATGTACTGTTTTTAACCATGAGCTGTGAATGTCTCTCCTTCTGCCCTAATTCATGCTTTACCATTTTTCCTTTCAAGGGATTTTTCATATTTGGAAGAGGGGACTTCATGATGTTCTAGGATGCATCCAACATTGCTTGGACTAATGGCTGGGTAGCCCCATGACCGAGGAGGTGAACTAGGTCACTTTTCAGTGTGATCAGCACAGTTTACATGAGAAAGTCTCAGAAAATGGTGGAAAGAAACTGTTGCCAGAAAACAACATTTTCAACACGTCAGCATTTCCTGATATGTTGTCTTGGCTCAAGATCAGCAGATGCTGGCTGTTGAAATTGTTGCTTTTCCATTATCCAACCTTACAGCAGGTAGAGAAGGACTTTAAGAGACATCTCATCTACTCTGTTCTTGAGGCCCCCTTCCAAACCAATATTATCCTGTGATTCTTAAACCTCTTTGACCTTCTGAAAGCATACCATTGCTACCTGGTCTGTGCCATTACTGCCCTGAAAAGTATGTGTCAAAATTTCTTCCCCTTCTGCTTGCAGTGCCTGATAACTAATGTTGTGTTCCCTGTGCCATTTCTCTTTTGACAAAAGTAGTTTTATTTTTCTTTTTTACTGTTTTGGGGGAGTTAAAATCAATTTGTCTGAGCCACAGAATTGTTACATTTGTGTTTCCTGCTCTTTTTTTGGGAAAGTTTTGTATCCAAAATACACAGATGATATTTATAACCTGGGGTTTGCCCATTTTTGGGGTAGGGAGGGGACATGCCTAGAAAATGTAAATATTTAGGCCAACATTACAGTGCACAAGTGAATTTTTAGTGCTCAAAGCACTTACTTTTTTGTGAAAATCTATTTTTTTTAAATCTTGTGTACCAGAGGTATATTTTTACATAGAAATAAAACAGATCAAAATGGACATGAAACCGTCTGATACACCATTCCAATATTTTCTGTGTAAAATAATCAAAGTCCAAACATATTTGTTCTGTTACTAATTAAAGAAACATTAATAAGCCTGGCATATTTCATATTTCTTCTCTGATTCATCTGTAGTAAGACAGGCATCATGAAAAAGCACCCAGGATAACCTGAAGAGTGGTTTTCCCCTGAGAGTTGCAGCACTGATGGATCTCAATGCCGTGCTGAGACCTCAGTTTACAACTCAGGAAGCAGCTTGGCAGAGGCCAGTGTTGCTGGTCAGCATCCTCCCCTTGCAGACTTTTCACCAGAATCCCACCTGAAGGTATTTTTCCAGGGATACTTGGTGGTGAGTTTTACTCACTACTTTTGGCAAAGGTGTGTGGGTCCTGGGATCCGTGTTCCTGCCTCTTCATATAAATCAGAACCATGGGCACAAATTGCTCGTGGAGCAGAGGCAAGAGACAACAACAGCTCTGTTGGGAAGTTCTGCCTTCCTGAGGAGGGAGGCCTGTCTGTTCTCAAAGCACAGCACCCTCTGGGAGCTGATAAGGTTGGGAATTATGGAGAAGCTGCCTCAGCAGTGGGGTCTGAGGGATGAACTGATAGAAGCCTACAACTACTTCAAGGTGAGGTACAAAGATGACAAAGTCAATCTCTTCTCAACAGTGGAAGATGGTGAGACAGTGAGCAACAGCCACAGTTTGTAGCTTGGGAGATTCAAATTGGACAGTGGAAAACAAAATCCACGGGAATCGTGCTGTCAGTGAACAGATACCCAGAGAGAAAGCATTAACCTTCCTTGGTTAAAGAAGACTTGGTGTAAATAATTTCCATAAATAAATAAAGCACAGAAGCCTGCTTTGATTTTTGTCCTCCACTTCTCCTGCAGCAATGAATTCCACCAGGTAATTATGCACTATGCCTTATGAAAGGGGAGTGTACTTTTAACCCATGCCTGAGGATTTCAGCCCTGCTGCTTTGTGAGTGTTTCCTGTTTAGCTCCTCCACACTGTGAAGCTCCTATAGATTCCTCGTGGAAGAGAAAACACTATTTTTGAAAGATCACCTCACAGGCTCATCCCAAGTACCAATTTAAAAAGAATTTCAAAGGTCTTTTTTTTTTGTTGTTTTCTTTTTCATTCCCCCCCTCCTTTTCTTTTTAACCTGATTTACTCAAGGAAATAAAGCTCATGATTGTGCTGTGACAACTCTATCTTTAGTATTTCTGGAAGCAGTTTAGAAAGGGGAGACAGGGAGAACATTCACTGCCAGAGAGGTCTTTCTGTCTCTCTCCAAGACACTGAGCTATTCCCCAGGTCCTCATCCATCTGAGTGCCTCCCAGCCTGGAGAGTTTAATGCTTGAGCACAGCAGAGATGTTTATGAAGCAGAAAGCGCTGACAGAAGTATCTGAGTCAAACTTCTTTTAGGAGTCTGAAGTGTGCCTGTGAGGCTCCAACATCCCCAGAGCTTCAACAAACATCCCTGAGCAATTTGAAAGCAGGCAGGAACAGTGAGATGCATTAAATATGCACATATCACTTTTTAGCCCCAGCTTCTCAAATGATTCATCTGTTCAGCTGGCTGCCAGGTGCCTGGGACTCATCTGTCTCTATGCAAAATTCCTTGGCTCTTCTGATGAAAGGGAGATGATGTGCTACTGCCAGGATTTTGTTTTTCTTCTCTGCAGCCACCCATTTCCTTTGGGACTGAACAAAAGGCTGTGGCGCTGGTCACCGGGCTGTGAGGGTCAAATAGAGGCTGGCATGGGACAGACACCGTGCTATGCAATATCTGCAGACGTTGGGAGAATTTAGGAATAGCTTTGGATGGGAGAAAAAGGGCTTTGAGGAACAAAGTGCCACAGTGAAGGAAAAATGAGGGGAGTTGGGCTCACCCAGTAAGCACATTGCCTTTGGCCAGGCATGGGCAGGGCTCAGGGCTGACCTACCCTGGCAGGAGACCCACTGGCAACCCAGTGGGGTTGGGCCACGGGGTGGTGATGGGGGTTTGCTGGTCTGAGTGGTGGCTCCTGGGTTTAAACTTGTCCATGTTGAGGCTGGATAGTCCTGGGTGAATGCTCACGGTAACCATGACATGATCTGGTCTGAGATATTCCTCCTCTCTTGGTAAAAACTTGTAAAATGTAAGAGAAGACTTCAGAAAAGAGAAAAAGGAGACAATTGGAAGCTGTTGTTTCCAAGGGGCCAAAATCTGTACATGCTGGAAGATGACCATGAATCCACTCAGGATCAGAAAGGAATGAGATGAGTTAATAACACTAGGTTAGGTTAATAACACTAATAACACTACAGCGTTCCTTGATTTTTTTTTTGGAGGTGGGCTAATATTTAAAAGACTTTTTTGACTAAAGGCAAGAGTGTTTCTCTTGAATGTATACAGCTTTTACTTTCTGGGGGCTGATGGCTGTGCTAACACAGCCTGGTCAGCCAGATTCCCTCATGCAGGTCAGGGAAGGATAAATGACTCATAAATGTCAAGAAAACCTCCAAGCGAGAGTGTGGCATTCAGGTCACTGTTGAAAAGAGACCCTGAGTCAGAGCTGAAATGCCAGCGGTGTGTGTGGGACTACTGCGTGTGTGCATGAAGGAAAAACAGAGCACCAGCAAATGAGGTTTTTTACACTAGAGTTGCTTTCTACAGAGGTGGCTGTGAGGGAAATAAAAGCATGGCCTGCCTGCAAATTTCTTGAAGGTTTCAGTGGAACACAATCCATTCATCTCCAATGAGGCGCCTTACTTTGACGCTTTGGAGATGCCTGCGATGTCGTCTGCTGCTGACATCCATGGGGAAGGACTCACTGCCTGTGTAATCACTCACTGCTGGCCACACTTTGATTGCCCTGGCATCTCCAGTCTCTTCCAATGTCTGAGCTCACTCAACCTTTCTCCAGCTGGGCCAGCCACAGGTTCTTCGGCAGCAACAAGGATAACTGGGATAGCACTGTTCAGATGATACCCGTGGGATACTAAGGGAGTACAGCAGCTTCACAATTGCTGCTTCTGTAAAGTATTCGGCACTTGTTCTCACATATCATGTGTTTTGGTGAAAACTTGAAGGGATTTTGGGACTTTGTAGGAACCCTGGATTGTAGGGCTTCTCTTGCAGAGCAGTTGTGTCCAGGTGCTGGCTGCTGGGCACAGGTTGCTCCATATTCAGCAAGTGGTGGTATGCATTCAGCATCATCCTGCCGGGAACAATAATTGTGAGGGCGTGAAAGAGGATCCATATGTTCAGGATTCTTCAACTTGTGTGACTCTTCAGCCTGTTTTGGAAGGAGAAGGTTCATCACCATTTGGGTAATCCTCCAGCAACAATTTTATTATTAACTTTAATGAAGCTGTAGCACACGGGGTTTGCCATACTGGGGCAGACCTCTTTGTTATAATTTCATATTTATTATCCACTAGGCCAGTTACCAACTGCTTTGGGCTACGCTCTAATGACAGAGCGAGGTATGCATTTTACCATCTGTTCACGTGGCTGTCAGGTGAGCATATGTGAGAGCTGGCAGTCTCAGGGCAAACTGCTGTAGACACCCTGGGCTGGAGGGCAGGACCAGCACCGCGCTCATGGTCTCCCTCCCTTGGGGACAGTCCTACTCATCTTGCAGAGTTCAGGCAGTGCCAGAATTCTCCACTCTTACGTGCACTGTGGGGAATAAGAACTGAGATTTACACAAGGTCTCAGTCCCAGCCTGGTTGAAAGAGCAGGGAAGATGTGCTGGTTCTGGTAGATGCATATAAGTGGAGATAATGTTACAGAAGGTCTTGTTTTCTAATGCTGTGGGAAATGTTCTGCTGGTTTGGTGACTGTGCTCATTTCTGAGGACTTATTTTCCTTTCAGTCCTTGGATTGCTCCTGGAACTCATAACTGGCTTCCTTAGGAACATAGATAATATTTTGTTTGTGCTGGAAGCAGCAGCCCCAGCATCTCATCTAAGTCTTTCTTGCTTGACTTTGCAACCTGCTCGATATTACGGCTCTCTGATGCAAAAATAAACATCTAAGTAGATCAGGAATGCAGTGAAATGAAACTGGGATTCTGCATTTGAAAATGTCGCCACTCAGAGGGAAAATCATCTTCCCACTTTTGTTTGTAGCAGTTGCAACAATTTTCTCCCCAAGACACCCTTTTTGTGCTATAATTTCCAAATTCATCACAACTCAGAGACACTTATGTCTGGAACTTACGATCTTGTAACCAGCCCATAGCAATAGGAGGATTAAAGAATTCTCTTCTCCTGCACAAGCACATGAAGAAAGACTCTGAGAGCCTCCCTCTTCTGTTCTGATCACTTGTACAGCAACATCTCTCATGTCTGAGGAACCCAGTTGGGTAGGATGAAGATACCAACCCTCTCTTGACAGATGGACTTCCTGAAGTGTTGCCCATCCCCAAGACTTTTATCCATGTACAAATACTGCCTAAACCTCTAGACAGCTCAGATAGATGTAGCATGCAAAGTGTCATAGGATAAAACTGCAGCATCCAGAACTTTGGCCAAAGAAGTTACTCATCTGAGTAATATCCCCAGGAACCCAAGGGCATGAGGCAGCTTTGCCCTGTTCATTCTAATAAGAATATATCATCCAAACACCATGTGTAAACATCACCAGATCTCACACCTGTTGTCCAGTGAGGAACTGTTGAGGATGAAATGCAGTCTGGACTGGTAGAAGTCACTGCTGCTGCTGAGAAGCTGTTTGGGGTATATGGGGCAGTTCAGGGGTGCACAGTAACAGCCTCTAGTGATCAGCTTGCACAGTGGACACAAGCATTTTTCTGCTTGCTTGCAGAAGGTTTGGTTTGTGGGTCTCCAGAAGGCCACATGTTTTCCAGGTCCCGTGTTACCAAGGCTCTCCATTAAACAGAGTCAGTCCAGGATCTCTGTCCCAGTGGGCAGTGGGATGGCACTGTGTGAAGGTGCAAGTACTCCTCATGGATTTGGCTGCAGGAAAAGCAGCTTTCAGCCTGTATTCACATCCACATGGAAAATTTTAATGTCCATTTTGAGAATTTTTCCCTGTCCCCTGCTCTGAACAGCTTTGCCAGACAGAACATTGAAACATGGTCTCTAGAGGTAGAGATATCCCACGCTACTGATAATGAATCATAAGGTTTTCTGCAAGAAACAGTGCTTTATCTCTTTTTTTGGCTATTTTTTAGGTCATGGACTGGGGGTGGAAAAGGGACATTCACAAAAGAATGATGCTTGATCCTGGAAAATGTGATTGCATAAGCCTCTCTCTGGGTTTAATTGCCTAAATTTTCAGAGAAACTGAGCCTGTACAAATTCCTTGAACAACAGAGGGAACAGGACATGCTGTGTGTCCTAAAAAGCAGACTAGTTTGCAGGTGCTTAAATATAGATTCAGGTGCTTGGCTGTGGGCAGATAAGAGCAGAATAATTCTAGCCAAGGCTTGAAATAATTTCAGTAGTAAAACAGAGGCCAAAGTACTGTGATCCATTTGTGACACTGCTAAATCAAAACTGGCTTTGGTAATTACTTCTTATTTTGCCTAATGGTCAGGACAGATGGCTCCTTCTCTTCTCTGCTGCACGGGTAAAAAGCAGACGAGTACTTGCAAAGCTATTAAAAAATAAAAGTAAAAGTCATGTGGAAGAATTACTTATTGTAGTTAATAAACCAATTATACTGTTTGAGGAGGTGCTTTCTTCTTTATTTTTCATGGGACTGAAATATTAGCATAAACATTTCCTGGAAGTACCATGCTTATTCTACTAAAAACTACAAAATGAAGAACAAAATACTTTTTTTTCTCCCCTCCTGCTCTATAACAGACTAGATTGAAACAAGATTTGCCCTCTGGTTA